GGTTCAGGGGTGAGGCAGATGGCAGAACACAGAACGCTGACAGCCCGAAATGACACGGAACATACTTCAGATGCCGGGTGTGTGGTTAGGAGCGGCTGGAATTACACCCTCAGGGCTGAGCCAACACTGTCTGAGTCTGAGCCTGAACGGAGTCTGGACCCTGCTGAGGCAAGAACCGTGGGGGGCGTCTGGGCCCCCGGCTGCAGAGCCGAGCAGAGAGGCAGTGAGGGCAGGAGGCAGATTCCCAGCTGGAACTCAGGCACAGGGTTCTTTTGCCTTTCCAGACATGTGTGGTCATTTGTTTGTTCATCCATTTATCGTTCATTCATTCATTCAGCAAGGCAGTTGGTCAGTCACTCAACAAATGCTCGCTGAGCCGTGCCGCTCTACAGCCTGGCCTAGGGTCCGTGGAGGAACTGGGCACAGAGGGAGGCAAACGCAGAGCATGTGCTGAAGTCTCTCTGGGTGCGGTCAGGCCAGAGGCACCAGCGGGACTTTTGCCTGGGGAAGGAGAAATTGGGAGATGGCTTCCAGGGGATAAAGTGGTGATCTTCTGGGAGCAGTTGTTAGAGGACAAAAAGGAGTACAGCAGGCAGGCCAGGCAGTCTCTCAGAGGGAAAGATGGGACTTCTTGTTAATAAGGGTCTTAGGAGATTGAGGGGATGGGAAAATAAAGGAGACTATTTGCATCTAAAGCTGGCAAAGCCGGTTCTGCTCACTTGGTTAGCGAAGTCTCCCTGGCCCTCTGGCCGAGAGGAGCTCTGTAGAGAGTGTGTGTGCGAGCAGGAAGCAGGGCACGGGGGATTGGTGGGGATGAGGCAGTAGGGCCTCAGCTCAGGTCAGTTGGTGCCCGCCAGCTGTGTTAGTGGTGTGGTCTGGCTCCTGAGGGGATGGGGAGCCACTGAAGGTGTGGGAGCAGGGGCCACTGATGAGCATCGCTCTAGCTGCTGAGTAGAGAAGGAATCAGAGGGGAGGGAGGGAGACAGCCAGGCGGCTGCTGCAGTGTGAGAACTGATACTGGCCTGGAGGAGGAGTGACACAGAGGGACAGGAGAAGAGAGTGGATTTGAAAGAGATTTCTGAGAACTGACCGGTCTCGGTGACTGGAGGTGGCTGGAGAGGGAGAGAAAGGAATAGAGGATGATGGCCAGTTCCTGGTTGTGTGACGAAGTCGATAGTGAAGTCACTCTCTGAGAGGGATGGCTGGAGGTTGTCTTTCTTCCTGGTCTGGGGTGACTGGGAACGAGGGTCTGATGTTCCCCCAGAGCCAAGCCTTGGTTCCCACCTCATCGCGCTTGGCCCCCTATCTGGTCTCTTCGCCTCCTGCCTCTGGCCTCTCTAGTCGATCCGCTGCCACCCTGATCTAAACAAGGAATCGGACCATGCCACTCTCCCATTGAGAAATTCTCAACGGCCCCCTGTTCTCTCCAGGAAGATCCGAGCTCCTGAGCTTGGCAAATCAAGTCATCTACGGTCTGAGCTCATGTGCCTTCTTTGTCTCAGTCCCTCGACACTGTGCACTAGCCACAGTGACTAATAATAGTAAGAGAGCACCACCACAGCTAACACTTACACAGCATTGATATGTGCCACTTGTGGCCTAAGAACTTTACATATATTAGGTCATGTCATTCTTAGTAGAAAAACATTGACAGTCTTGCACTTCCCAGAAAGGCCCATTTCCTCTTGCCGTCAGAAGTTCGACCCCTGGTTTTCTTGTCCTAGGATCCAGCCTTCCTTCCAGCCATCTGATACATACTTACTGACCATCAACTTGTGCCAAGCACTATCCTAAGTGCCAGGGATCCAAACACGAGTGGGACATGGTACCTGCCCAGAGTGTATACAGAGTCCAGTGCGGGAGACGGACACCTGAAGAGTCGGGAAGGTAAGTGCAGTGATGGAGATGTGATGGGGGCTCAGAGAATGAGCCCCAATCCAGCCTGGGGCTGCCCCTGCTGGCCAGCTGGAGCTTTATCCCCTCCAGGAAGCCTCCTGAGTTTGCCAGGCTGGGTGAGGCCCCTCTTCTGTGCCCCTGCAGTCCCTTCTCTGCCCACATCACACACTGACCACTCTGTATGGGGAGTGTCTGTGTGGCTGCCCGCTCTGAGCGCAGCGAAGGCAGCGAACAGTCTGACTCGTCCCTGACCCAGCACCCAGGCGGCCTGGACACAGCCTTTCAGGATTTGCTGAGTGGAAGTGCTGGAGGAATGAAGAGTCATGAGGAGGGGTATCATACTCCTGGGCTGGTCTCTGATGCTCGCAGAGTCAGGCCTGCCCTTGTTCCCTTTCCTGAGCCTGGCTCAGACCCTTACCCCAGAGGGCACCCCACAGGGGTCAGGCCTGTGGGTAAGGCTGGGCTGCTGCTCTCAACCCTAGTTTAGGAGCAGCCTGGTTGGACAAGGCCACACGAGAATGGGGGCCCTGTATGCTCCCCAGCCAGGTCGGAACTGTCTGCCCCAGGATCCTGAGGAAGGAGCAGCATCCTGGGCAGCTCTGGTTTTGAGGGTAAGAGCGAGGAGGCCCCGTAGCAGCCTCAGGATCTCTGGGTGGCAGGGGGTTGGGTAGGGGTGTCTCTGAGAGTTCCTTTGGTTCCTGAGCCGCTTCTGCAGCCTTTGGGCTATGGGATCCGTGGATGCTATGATGGAAGTCTTTAGGAATAAATGACTCCAGAGTGTTCTCAAACTAGAGGGATTTGAGGAGTATTCCAGGAAGCCTTATGGGGTCTGGTGACAGCCCAGGCTGGCCCCTTGGACTCTCATTGGGTTAACATAGCTCTTTCTCCCCAGAGTTCTGGGGGTAGGGATGGGGGCAATCGTGGGGCCCTCCTAGAGGGGCTGTAAACTTGGGGAAGGACTTGAAATGACTTTCAGCCTCAGCCCCTCTCCCAGCCAGAGTGCTTGGGAAGCTCTGTCCCCAACACTCTGCTCCTGGCCTCGAAGCCCATCTTGGCTCATGGTGCCTCTGTTGAGGGGGCTGGGGGCAGGGAGCCTTGGGGGCTGATGCTAACAGCTTTGGACAGGGTGGGAATTTCCACTCCTATCTAGGGAGCCATCAACGCTGTGTGCCCTGACCTGGGCCTTTGGCCTCCAAAGGGCAGTGGGAAGGCCGGCCCCAGGGCCAATCCCTGGCCATTAATCCCTCCTGCCAGCCTGAATATCCACCCAGCGTGGTCAGACAAAGGACTGCCCAGCCCAGCCACTATGTTCCCCCCGCCCCAGGGGCTCCACTCAGACGTTGGGCCGCCTGGAATCCAGGCCCATGAGAAAGGGGCCGCCTTCACTGGCCATCTTATGCCCGGATGCTCAGCCGCATCCCGTCCGGCCCAGGGCCTGTGAAAAGAGGGCCCAGCCACGCTGAAAACACGGATTAGCCCTTGGGCTACCCCCTCACTCCGGCCTGCTCGGCTCTGGGAAGCAGGCCCAATGGAGGGGGCCAGGCAGGCACAGAGAACTGGAAAAGTCTGGGTTCTCACCCCTTTGGCCCAGCTCCCTGCCCCCACCTTTCCCAGGATCAGCACAGCCGACCTGCACGTTCAGTGTCGTTTACTCAACATATACTATGTCCCAGGCTCTACGCACGCACTTAGTCTGCTGTGGGAGGCAGTAAGAGCCACTCTCCATCTGAGGGTGTGAGACAGAGGCTGTGGCAGGGGCTTCGGAGGGGGCTTCAGCCCTAAGGGAGGGTGGGGAAGATGGTGCCTCTGGCTCTGTGTGAGTCTAGCTGCAGGGTGTGCTGCACCTGGTTGAAAATCCACAGGCTCTGAAATCCTGTCTCTGGCTCTGCCCCTCCCCTTCCCTTCCTGCTTTAATAGTGGAAATGCCAGTGTGTAGTAGAAAAAAAGTCTCCTTTTGCCCAGGGCCAGTGTGGGCCAGGCACTTTCACACACGACCCATCCGAATCTCCCAACAGCGCTGAGAGGGTTCATCACTGCCCCCATTTGGCAGGTGAGGAAACCCAGGCCCAAGGGAGCAACGGGCCGCGGGTCCCTCAGCTCTTGGTGCTAGATTCCTCGCTGCTGCAGCCGCGTGTCTTGGCTTCTTTGGTGAGCTGTTTGTGGTGACTGCACTGTCCTGTCCATAAGGCCTGTGCTCAGACTGCAGAATGCCAGGAAGAGCGTCCTGAGGCGGGACCTGTTCTCCTATAAGCCAGGGGTTGTTGCCTCTTCGTTGCTGTGGGGCGAGGGGTTGTCTCTAGACCTCCGAGTGTCATCATCTCCTTCCCCTCTGCTTCTGCAGCCCCCTCTGCCCACCTCTCTCATAGTTGTAATTGTCTGTGTCCATCTCTCCACCAGGCTGTGAGTTTCTTCATCTCTGTCTTCCCTGAGTGCTGGCAAAGGGCCTGGCACAGAAGTGCTCGGTGAATGAGGTGGACTAAACCAAGGCCTGGAGAACTGAGGGAGAGATGGATCTGGAATCCACGCGGCACTGACAGGACTCACAGACTGCTTGGATGTGGGCGTGATGGGGGAGGGAGGAGCCCATGATCATGTCCACGTTTCTGATCTGGGTGGCGAGGGCAAACACCATGTGCTGAGATCTGGAACACAGGAAGGGGAGCAGGCGGGGGTCAGGGGCTGCAGTGGGCTGAGGGTGATGCCCAGTGGTCACCTGGATATGCTGACCCGGAGGTCAGGAGAGAGGCTAGGCATCAATCAACTTTGCAGCTGAAATTGTAAGAGCTGGAAGAACCCTTGAGCAAAGCATTTCTACAGTCTCAGCTATAAAATCCGGTGTTCTTAGCAGACTCCAGTGCTCTGAACTCTGGGTTTAAGGCCAGCTCTGCCACTTAGTAGCCGTGTAAAGTTGGCTAAGTCACTTTAACCTCTCGGACCCTCAGTTTTCTCCTTTGCAAAACAGAATAATAACAGCACCCACCTCACAAGGCGTTCACACTTAAGTGAGAAAATGCATATCCGGTCTGTGGAAGCACTTGGGGGCTCTCTCTGACACAGTAACTGCTCCTTGGAACCCCGGGCTGAGCAGGCCCGCTTTGCGCATCTTCCCAGCCCGCACGCTGTGTGTGTAAGAAAGGGAACCTTTTTCTAGGACAGAAGGGGCATGGAGAGGCAGCAGCCAGAAAGGCAACTCCAAGTTGTGGATGTTCTGGGGGCTCTTGATTTAAAGCAGTTGGTCCTCTAGTTCCCAAATCTGCTAGTTGGACCACTTTTCACCATTCCGTTTTTTCAAAGAATGCTCACAAGTGGGCTGGACAGGACAGGGTTGTGGGGCAGGCAGCAGAGAGAGGAGATGGTGACCCTGCAGCCACCAAAGGTCCTCCCTTGAGACAAAGCCCGCCTCGCCCTGCCCTTCCCTGCACCCTACCCTGCCACATTGCCTAATGTCCGAGGGTGGGCCGACGCCTCCCTGACCAGCACAGCGTGAGGACGCTGAGGGCTGGCAAGGCCACCCTGGGCGCCCTCATTTCTGCCCCGCTGGGGTTGGAAGGACCAGGAGGAGGCTAGCAGAGGAGGCTGGAGGCGACAGGACTCAGCTGGGAGAAGCATAATGGGGAGGGGGCCTGGAGAGCGCACTGAATGGGTGGATTTGTGATTGGCATTGACCCAAAGGGGAGGGGATGGAGGGAGGGGCGGAAAGGGAAGGGGGCTGTTCGAATCTGGTGGGATGGGGCCAGGGCCAGGGCCTGACTCAGTGGAGGCGGGGAAGGGCTGAGGCTGGGTCTGGGAAAGACTGACCCAAAGGGACGAGACCAGGGAGGGGCGAAATGTGTGTGTGTGTGTGTGTGTGTGTGTGTGTGTGTGGAGGGGGTGGGGGTGGGGGTCCTGTGAGCCTAGTTGGGGCATTGGGATGGCAAATTAGGCGGGAGGGCTGGCCAGCGGGCAGGTCCGAGCCCTGTCCCAGGCTGGGGGGACGGGGAGGGGGGCTGTGTCCATATAAGGCCGGTCAGCGGCCCCTGCTCTCCCGGAGCAGCGCGGGCCGGGGCCGCCGCCTCCCCATGACCGGGCGCAGCGACATGGAGCCGCCCGCCGCGTTCTCGGGCTTCCCGGCGCTGCCCTCGGTCGCGCCGTCGGGGCCGCCGCCGTCGCCGCCCGCCGCCGCCGAGCCGGGCCCCGAGCCCGAGCCCGAGGAGGCGGCGGCGGGCCGCGGGGGGGCCGAGCCTGCGCCCGCGTCGGGCGCGGGACGGCGGCGGCGGCGGCCCCTGCAGCGCGGGAAGCCGCCCTACTCGTACATCGCGCTCATCGCCATGGCGCTGGCGCACGCGCCGGGCCGCCGCCTCACGCTGGCCGCCATCTACCGCTTCATCACCGAGCGCTTCGCCTTCTACCGCGACAGCCCGCGCAAGTGGCAGAACAGCATCCGCCACAACCTCACGCTCAACGACTGCTTCGTCAAGGTGCCCCGCGAGCCGGGCAACCCGGGCAAGGGCAACTACTGGACGCTCGACCCCGCGGCCGCCGACATGTTCGACAACGGCAGCTTCCTGCGGCGCCGCAAGCGCTTCAAGCGCGCCGAGCTGCCCGCGCCCGCCGCCGGCCCGCCGCCCTGCCCCTACGCACCCTTCGCGCCCGCGCTGCCGCCGCCGCCGCCGCCCGCCGGGCCCGGGCCCGCGCGCCTCTTCAGCGTCGACAGCCTGGTGAGCCTGCCGCCCGAGCTGGCCGGCCTGGGCGCCCCCGAGCCGCCCTGCTGCGCCGCGCCCGACGCCGCCTTCCCGCCCTGCGCCGCCGCCGCCGCCGCGCCGCCGCTCTACCCGGCCGGCCCCGAGCGCCTGGGGCTGCCCCCCGCGCGCCCCGGCCCTGGCCCCGGCCCGCTGCCCGCCGAGCCGCTCCTGGCCCTGGCGGGGCCCGCCGCCGCGCTCGGGCCGCTCGGCCCCGGGGACGCCTACCTGCGGCCGCCGGGCTACGCGCCGGGGCTGGAGCGCTACCTGTGAGCCCAGCGCCCTGCGGGGCCCTCTCTCCGCCGGGACCGGGGCTGCCCCCGGGCTGGGCGCGCACCTGAGCTCCGCATCCCTGCCTCTTGGACCCGGCGCGCCGGTGACATCTTCTCTGTCCCTCATCCCTGGGGAGACTCCCACCGTCTCTCCATCGCACGGAACCCCCTGCCCCGAACCGGACTTGCGAGTCCCTCATTTCTTCTCCCTCCACTGGGAGCCCCAATCTGTGCACTCCCCCAGCGCTGTTATGGGCCCCCTGTCCCACCACCAGTGAGCCCCCACCCCAGGTTTCTGGTAAATTCCACACCTTCGCTCTCAAGCCTCTTCCTCGACGGGCTCCTTACTTCTTCAACCTTCCTTCGTGGTTTTTACAACATATTAGAAGTCAGACTCCCGGGTTGATGACTCCCTTGCTGTCTTCCCTTCATTTCCCCACGTGTTTGTTCGCTGCCCCTACCTACCTGTCTGCCCTTGGTGTCTTCCCGGGAGAGAGCTCTCCTTCCACACAGACACACCTGGCAGCACTCTGCCAGGCCCCGAGGACAGTTCTTCGAGATTTCTGAGAAAAGCAGCACCAGGGGCTCCTGACTGAAAGGGGAGTCCGTAGGCTGCCCCACCATCTGGAAAACTTAAAACTTAGTAGGTTATTATTTTTTTAAATAAAGCTGGTCCAATTAAAAAGAAAGAGGAAACCTTCCTCTGGGCTCAGTGTGCTGGCTGGTGACTTGGGGGTGGTCTGGGGAGGCAGTGGTGAGCTTAGTGCAGGATCTTAGGTTGCCACGTGGGGTGAGCCCCCTGTGAGTTGTCAGGCAAAGGTTCAGGAAGTGGGATTAGGATGTGATTAAGCCATAGCTATGCAGGGAGGAGGCCTCATGAAATGCCATCACCTGCTGTGTCCCAGAGGCTGGTGGAGATGAGGTGGGGTGTGCACGCGCGTGTGTTTGGGCAGTGGGTTTGTCTGCTCTGTGGGATTCTTCCCAGCTCCCAGGGATAAGGGAGCATTGGACACTCCTCCAGCAGGTACTTACTGAATGTGCCAAGCACTGTGCCAGGCACTGGGAACACATCACTAAACAAATGGGCAAGATCCCTGCCTTCTGGAGCTTAGGGATCCTTGGGGGAGAGACATGGCCAACCAGTCCTCAGAGAGATGGGAGAAGTGCTCAGAAGCCCTGCACTCAAAGTGTGGTCCACGGGCCTTCAACATTACCCTTGAGCTTGCTAGAAATGCAGGCTCTCAGGCTCCACCTCCAGCCCACTGAATCATCAGATTCCTCATTTTAACAAAATCCCCAGGTAATTAGCATGCACAGTATTCTGGAGGAAAGGCGCTGGGCCAAGGCTAGGGGCTCAAGTTAAAAGGCTCAAGCTCCCTACTTTAAGAAGTGGGACCAGGCTGCAGAGTCACACATCCCCCTTTGCACTTCTGGAGCTCAACTCTGCCCCATCAGCCATGCCCCCTGTCTTACCTCCCCTGCTGGATTGGGAGCTGGGGCAGCAGGGACTTGAGCTGATTTATGACTGTCCCCAGCACCAAGGACAGGGCAGCAGTGAGCAGAGACTCCGAAGTTGCAGTACGAGGGAGGGAGCTGGCCTTTGACCCTGTCCTGCTCTCCGGTGCTGACCCAAAGGCTAAGCGTCAGGCTTTCCAAGCTCCCTCGCCCGGGGGCTCCTGGTCTGTTAGGGCCTGGATTAGTTGTAGCGAAGGGTGGGGGAGGGGATCAGTGTGCCTTGAGCCTGGGGTGATCAAGATTTGCATGTTGGACAGGCCAGATGCACCTTTCTTAGATACAGGAGTTTAAAGCTCTGGGGTGGTGGTGGAGGGTGAGGGTGGAGAATGAGCAGCTTCTGGAGGAGAAATGTGCCAGAAATCTGAGCAAGAAGGGAAGGCCCTCTTTGGAGGTAGGGCTGTAGTGATGCACAGTCTGGTGTGAAATGCCCTGGATGGACCCCCTCCCTGAGCTGTTAACCCCTGAAAAAGTCAGATCTAATTTGCCTGATGCATAGCAGCCCTTCACTTAATATTTGTTGACTGACTGAGTGAATCCCCACAGTCTAATATTGTGCCTGACTTACTGAATAAGGACTGGCTTAACAGTATTTGGCACTTTCTTATCCATTCTCACTTGTGGACCTCACAGTGACCTGCAAAAGAGGCCACAGAGGTGAAAGAGGTGGAGGTGGAGGCGGTTTGCCCATTCATCCTATGAGGAAATTGCCCCTCCCTGGGGCCCAGCAGGGGCCAGAAGATCCAGCCCTCAGTTCCTGAAGGAGTAAGTCTCTACAAAGATCACAAATGTTCCTCTGCTCCCAAATGGTGTTACAGCTCCTCCTCCCGCCTCAGAGTACCTGTTGATAAATTCCTTCCTAATCCAAGAAATTTCCAGGGAAGGGGATGACCCCTCTCCCTCCGCTGAAGCCAGGAAGTGCTTCTTGAGCTCTGAATTCCATTCTTGTCACCACCCTGCAGGTCTCTGTCCCTGGGATCTTGGAACAGTGAGGTCAGGACGAGGTGGGAAATGTCTGTATGGAAATTCTAGAAATGTCATTTCTGAAATGGAAAACGAGTAAGATTTTATTTTAAAAATGCCTCTTTAATTTTCCCTATTCCACAGCATTGAGGGCGTACCGTGTGCCAGGTGTGTGCTGGGCTCTGAGGTCAGTGCAGATACAAACCCGAGACTGTTCTTGCCCTTACAGAGTCCATTGTCTGGAAAGCTATGTGTGGTAGAGTGCCCCAAGAATTGTGACACTTTGGTAGATGCTGAAAAAAACAAAAAACAGCCTTAATCCAACTCTGTCTTTAAAAAGCACCAAGCACTTTTTATCTAGAAGAGAGATTTCAATATTATTGCCCTGCTCCCCTTTTTGCAGAAAATAATCTGAATAGAGACTTGAGAACTGTTAAGTAAATACTTCCCCTTCATTCTTGTAGAAACCTAGAAGTCATCTTTAATCTGCAGACACACTTTTAACAATTAATTTTTGATCTTATTAAATTGAAACAAGCAGATAATCTAACAAGTCAAATAGCAAACGCCTTTACTGGTGTCCTGCCCCACTCTCGGGACCTCTGCTTTGTTCAATTCATATTTGTCTCCTTTGGAATATACTTCCACATTCCCACGTTTATACTCCTCTCTCTTGAGACAGTAATGATTAACTTTCTATTATGATAGATGATCAGTGACCTTTAAAATTTCTCTCTCTTCCCATCCCCACCCACATTACCAACTTCTGGTTAAATTAGTTTTTAGCATTTACGTTATTCTTACTATATAAATATTTTTCTCTGATAAGCTACTAGTGTACCATGACTATCAGGTTTTGTTTTGTTTTTTTGGTGCAACTCTTGATTTTGCCTGGAGTCAATGCCATGTTTTTTCATTTGCTTAGCTTTCTTTGTATTCATGGCTAAATCTTCCTGTATCTTCCAATAGCTGTGGTACGATTGTCCACGAGGTCAAACGTACTAGGAAATCTGTCATTGCTTTTGGTTGCTGTGTTTTTCCTTTCCCGGGGGCATCTCTCCCAGAGCCCGCTGTCCTCCAGCTCCGGTCTGGGCTGATTGCTCTCCGTGTCTGCTGCACAGATGTGGACCTGAAATTTCCACTCACTCTCTCTTTTGGAATTCCCTCCATCTCTCTCCTGTCTTGGATCCTTTGCTTCCATATCTTCCTTTCTCTTGCTTTGTTTCTTTGTTTCAGTCGAGGTAAATTTGGGGGAAAATTTTGCACATCTGAAATTAAGGTGATTATTTTAGTGTGAGGAGCTAAGTGTACACTTTGATAACGAAATGGTTAAGGCGAAGCTGTGTTTTATAGTCTTTTATTTTGGGAGGTTGAGGAAGAGGGGAATGGGAGATTGTTTCCTGGGTTCAGTATGCACTGCCTACTGGGAAACTGAAGGTGCCTCATTGTTATGGAAATGAGGGATGTGAGTTTTGGCAGGAAGGTTAAGGAGGGAAAGGTTTGGAGTTCCTTAGAGGAATAGGGAGTTCTTTATTGGTGTGCTGAGGGGGCTGCTTCCTGACTTAGGGGGACCTGGAACACTGGAAGGATGGCTTTGGGCCCAGGATGGTGCTGAGCTGGTTAGAGGGCCTGTGGGACCTGGCTCAAGAAAGAGGCCAACATCACCCTGGCACATGGAAAATTGAGTACACAGGAAAGTGGCATCCTTGGCAGGGACACAGGCAAGCATATCAACAAAGCTCCTTCAGGCAATTTTCAGGGCTGTGGGCCTCACCTGGGAAGGCAGAAGGACAAATGCACAACGTGGAGACCCTCTGCTGTAGTGACTGGCGTGGTTTTAAGCCCAGGTGAGGTCCTTCTTTGGAAGATCCTAGAAGTATGAGGGAGGGGGAGCATTTTGCAAGATACAGGAGGCTAAAGTGGTTTCCTTTTAAAGGAAAAAAGTCCTGTGGACCCCCAGTATTGACTTAATTTTTTATTAACAGGTATAAAATCCTTAGACATGTATCTTTTATGTAACTGTAAAACAATTTTTATATAAATTAAATTCAAACAGAACTACAAAATAAAAATTCAAACCCATAACATTAATCAAATGTAAAAGAAGATATTGTCTTGCTGAAACTAAATTACTTGCACATGAGTGTGGCCCTGAGGTCTTTTGGGTTTGGCTTGCCTTGAGCCATGTGACATTAAATTGACTCACCATCTTTTTCTTTTGAATGAACTGCAAACATTTCTTCATATAGCAGGCCATGCCTCCAACTGGCCCAAACGCAGCATGTATTTATAAAGTCTACACTGTTTTTTGCCTCATCTCAAGATTAAAATAGCACTACTTGATAATAAATGCAAATGAAGACTCTAAATACCAGATCTCTGATACTCATGATATCAAGAGGTCTTCTAAGTGGTCCAGAATATGCTTATATGAATGTGCTTAAGATTATTATTGAAATGAAAACACAACATTCAAAAATGTTCATAAATTCCTACATGTATAAGAATATGTTCTTGGACCACAATTTGAATTAACCACTTGAAGATTTAAAAATGCTTATCTAACTAACTCTTAGGTTAGAGGAAAATTAAAAGTACAGATTATTTATAAATTAATAAAAGTGAGAACAGCACACATTAAAATCCATAGGATGTAGTCAAACTTGTGCTCAGAGGAAATTTCATAGCCCCAAACATGCCATTAGAGGGGATGTGGGGTGGGGTGGGGAGACCAATGAAAAGGCTACTGCTGTATCCAGGCGGGAAAGGAGGGTGACTTGGTGGAAGTAGGGGTGGTGACAAAGGAAAGTAGCCACAAAAGAATAGAAACAAATCCTCCTATTCCAGAGAGGTTACAAACTTACTAGCCTCATGCTGACCCTGAAAGCTTGAGGGTGGTCATTTGGCTGGTAGGCACTCTGGTCGGGCTTGACTGATTTAAGGAGTAACCAATCGCAATAGACCTCTTAGTCCAGAAGAAATGAAAACACTGCCAGAGATGGTTCCTTCATTGCTCCCGCCAGGGAGCACCTCGGCTGGCTGGTCTTACCTGTGAATTCTGTCAAACCATCAAGGAACCTATTTTTCTAGTTACATAAATTGTTCCAGAACACAGAAAAAACAGAAGTCATCCCAATTCTATCTACTTAATCACCTTATGAAAAACCCAATACAGAAGGCGTGAGCATGCAAAATACAGCCATTCGCACATATGAAGGAAGATGCAGAAATCCTCAATGAAATATCAGCAGACCGAATCCGGTACTGCATCGGAACAATGCACGATCAAACACAGCTTATCCCTGGAACGCAGGGTGGCATTATTAGAATTAACAGCTCCACTTTATAGATGATGAAATTGGGGCTTATAAAGGTTAAGTGACTTACCCAGGTCAAGCTGCAAAGTGACCCACTCAGAACTTGACTCTAGGTCCGCCTGACTCCAAAGTCATTCTCTGCCTCCAAGGAATAGGCAAGTGGCAGTGGAAACTTGGATCAAAAGCCCCAGGCACCAAAAAAATTCCTCAGTTCACACCATATTCTCCCCTGCCCCATCCATCACGCCCACAGTCCTGATCTTGAAAGGTACTTTTCGAAGCCAAGTGATAGGTTTGGTTTCCTTTTTTTTTTTTTTCTTCCAGTTTTCCACTTCTTCCCCCTTCCACGCTCCCTCTTCCCCTCCTTTCCCTGTACTCCGGCCCCCTCCTCCCTCTCCCCTCACCAATTTTGTGGAGACAAAAGCGCCACCTATTGGCCACCTTGTATGCACCTGATTTGAGCAGGAAAGCAGTGGAATGAAGCCAGGATCCATTTGGACGCTGGTTGCGGCTGGGGTGGCTTCTGGTGGCAGAGAGGCACTTGCTCCAGGGGGAACCCAATTGTTTGGTGTGGAAGAGGAAAGTTGGCTGCAGTTCCCACCTCCCCTGGGAAGCCCTTCCAGATATTCCATCCTCCTCCATTCTTCTTCGCAGCCCTTGGTAGTGGCCCACTTAGAGGGGCTTGGAATGGGGGTGTGGTAGGTGGTTCTAGCTGCAGAGAATTGATCCACTCCGTAAGAAGGAAATAGCGGAAAGTGTGCTGGGTGGGTGTCAGGAAACCTGAGGTCTACTCTAACACTCAGGCAAGGCCTTCCTTCTCCCTCTGTCACAGCAACTCACAGCTCTCTCCAGGCTCTGTGACTGTGCGCCCCACCTCAGCGAGGACTCAGAGGAATCAGACGATGGCCTTGCGCAAAGGAGTCAACTATTGGTGGGTGACAATATAGTGCAGAGTGCTGACAAGATCAGGGAGCTCTCAGGTCACTGTGGCCACTCACCAGTTCAAGCCTCTGCCCCGACCCCAGCCTCAGGCTCCTCTGAACTAGCGAGAATGTGCCCTGCTCTCTCTGCCTGGGTGGGACGGCCTTTGTAACTGCTACAGCCGTAGTGATGCTGGGGGAGGATATTCTCCCCTGCCTGGCTGTGGGCTTCCCAGGACAGGGCTTGCCCCTTCTCTGTCCACTGTATCCCTCCCTGGGCAGCCTGGCCAGGGCGGGCATGCCAGGCTTTGGCCTGAGATACCCCTTGTCTGGAGGCTGGAGTTGAGGTTTAAGGGGTGGAGGAGAGTTAGAGACAAGAGGCCTAGGCCTGGCTTGAGGGGGACGCAGGCCCCACCTTGGGCATCAGACCATCTCCCTGCAATGTGGAGGGGTTGGGGCTTGGTGGGCCTCACGAGGAAGGCTTCCTGGAGGAGGTGAGCTCTGGCTTGGGGTTTTCAAGGAAGGGAGGGGAGAGCCTGCTATTTTAGTTTCTATAAAACCCTTTCCTCCATCCTAATCCTTGTCTAGCTTGTCAAACTGAAAAAGTCTGACTACTTCCAGAGCAATTTCAGTGGGACCAAGAGAGGAGGCAAAGACAGAAGGATGGGGACAGAAAAGAGGTGGGCAAGGTAGAAAGTCTGGGGTCCTAGCTAGCAGACCCACCTACCTCCCTGCCTGACGGGTGGCAGGCCAATGCTCAGAGGCACCCAGTAAGTCTTGCTTTCATGTCCCACCTTCAAAACTACAGCCACCAACCACAGTTCATGTTGGAGCCCATAGGAAGTGCCCAGCATGTAGTAATGGCCTTCATTACTCTTCAGTTCTGCACACTCAGCCTTATTTATTGGAATGATTCCATATAAAAAAAGTATTCAGTGAAAAGTCTCACCTCCATTTTTGTTCCCCATTTGCCTCAACAGATAATCAGTTGTTCAGTTTTTATTCATCCTCCTACATATTTTTGTTGCATATACAAACCAAAACAAATATACATTATTTTCCCCCTTAAAAAAACACAGTGGAGGGCTGGCCCGGTGGTGCAGCAGTTAAGTGCGAATGTTCTGCGTCAGTGGCTTGGGGTTCGCCGGTTCGGATCCCAGGCGCAGACATGACACTGCTTGGCAAGCCCTGCTGTGGTAGGCGTCCCACGTATAAAGTATAGGAAGATGGGCACGGATGTTAGCTCAGGGCCAGTCTTCCTCAGCAAAAAGAGGCAGATTGGCAGTAGTTAGCTCAGGGCTAATCTTCCTAAAAAAAAAAAAAACAAACCACAGTTGGAAGCATAATGTTTATGCTGTTAGGTATCTTGATTTTTTTCACTCAACAACATATCTTGGAGCTCTTTCCAGATCAATATATATAGAACTTCTTTATTCTAGTTTACACAGCATACTATTCCCTTATATGGATGGGCCATTATTTGTGTAATCAACCCCCTAATCGCGGACATGTACGTTATTTCATACCCTTTGTCATTCCAAAGCCAGCGGCAGTGACACCTTGGGCATACATCACCTGTGTAGGTATACATGAAGGAGAAATTCCCAGAAGTGCATTTCCACTCAGCCCTTGTCAGGACACCAAGCTCCCTGTGTGGTCACACTGGCTCTTTCGGCAGCTGTCCTCTTTTATTTCTCAAAAGGACAGTTGGTGACCGTGGTCAGAATTTCATCTTCTCAAACCTCTTTGCCCTCCTCCCCAGTGGCCTTCCCATCAAAGTCTCTCTCCAGGGCCCCTTACCAGATGTTTTGGCCTCTGGATCTGGGAAGTCTGGGCACTTAGCACCTCCACCCTGGGTGGGGTCTGCGCCCTGGCTGTCAGTCTGTCCAGGGTGATGCTCCTTCTCTCTTCTAGCCCCCAAATCCTGGGCATCAGGGGCAGGTGTCAGGACCTTCGGGCTCTTTGGACCTCTGGGCCTCTAGGCTTCCTGTTGAATGCTGTCATCTCTCCTGCCCCGCCCTCCCCAGCTGGGACCTCAACTGTGACTCCCTTCTTCTGATCATACAATCATGTCTTAAAATCTGCTCCTCTCTGGCCTCGGATTTCCCATTTCATTGCCTCTAACCCCTCAAAGCTGAGTGGCCTCAGCTTTGTGGGAGGAAGCGGGTGAGGGCAGATCAAGCAGAGCCCCCTGTGAGAGGGACGCATGTGGCTAAGGGGCAGCCACACTCCATGGCTGGAAACAAGGCCCTCAGCCGCCTGGGAACCTGGGGGCTGGCCCAGACCTGTGATGTCAGCTCCTGTAGCAGATGTTGCCATTTGGGGCTGACCTAGGCCGGGATGAGCAGGAGCCTGGGCAGGGCAAGGCCATGCAGAAACATGATGATTATTGCCGTGAATGGCAATTGCTCACATTCGGAACCGTAGGGAGGGCACAGTGGTTATGAGACCTGACTCTGGAGGCAGGCTGTCCAGGACAGGGGCTGCATTTCTCACATGTCAGATGAGGAAACTGGGGACCTGGGAAGGGCAGACGCATGTTTGAGGTTACACAGGACGGCAGGGGCAGGACTGGGGGTAGATCCCAGGCCTCTCCACTCAGGCCCCACTGCTCCTCGCCATCCAGTCG